AGAAGGGGGGGGGGGGGGGGGGGGGGAGGACATGAGGGGGAAAAAAGACCACACTTCATTTTCCAATACCTTGTTCATAATTCGAGTTTAGCATTGATTTATAGCATTCGTGAATAAAGTCGTGTCTGCATTTTTTTTTGTATTGGCAGCTATGCCTTTCCTATGTGCCAGACGGACTACTGGTGTTAGTGGAAAGGCAATCTCTTTCTCATGTCTGTTCATAAAATAACTAGCAACAAACATGCAGTAGCTTCTCACAGGTCAAGAGGTTCTTCAAATGAGCTTTGTAAAACCTTTAATGAACCAAGGAAACCATCCATCCAAATGATTTTTAAGTATGTCTTAATCACTGCATGGTAATGCCTCATCTTGGGAATTCAAAAATGGAAATAATACACCACGCTCCCTGCCTAACAGAAGCAAGATGTCAGCTACATTGTAAGGCAGCTCATATTAGCAAACAAGTCACTAAACAGGAAGGTGACGGAGGATTATGTGGGGAAGCACATTCTACCAGTCCCTGATGGCTGGAGAGCAACCTCCCTGCCTGCTGCAAGCTGACACACTCCTGCAGGGGAGCCTGCCAAGATGAGGTGATGACTCAGTGCAAAAAGCATCCCTCAAGCCAACTAAAATATGTTTGTGATTCCTCATGGACGCGATCCTCCAGGAAGGATCCCCTTGGCAGGATTTGACTGAATCATTTCTCAGTTTGAGCCTTCAGTTTCAGTATTTCAAAACTGGCATTTTTCTCTGCACTACCCCTGGCTTTATCAGGCCTAAACTTGTAGTATACAACTACTGATAATGCTGCACGTTTTAGAACACCTTGCCTGAAGTAGTCTGAAATGTTTATGCTTCAGATGAAGGTAATGCAGTACACAAACTACGTCGACCTATGGAAAATGCATAAAAGCCACTGAATAGCTCAGGGATCTACACATCACACAGTACAAATGGTTCTGATCTTGCCTCCTGACTTACTGGAGACCAGGAACTTCTGCATCTGTAACTCATGCCGATCAGAGCAGTTTGAACATGCCCACCTATACCCAGCTGTCCTTGCAGGAGCATAGAGGTTAAGTCATTCTTCCAAGTGGCAGTATTTTTAGTGCCTACAGCTCACCTTCAACATGTCCTTTATATAGGTCATATACAGAAACTCCAGATCTACAAAGTTGACAGACATTTATGCATACCATGTAAACTCTTATGCTCCAAAACTTAGTAGCAAAGTTGAGGTTTTGGAGGATCTCTTGCAAGCTGAGAAAGTTTGAAATACACAGGGCCTCACATTTCTGCCAGTTGAGTTCCCCACATACTGGTATGTGCTCTGAGATAAATCCAGATTTGTTCCAGTTAGGACAGAGCTAACACAGAATGCACAGAAGCCTTCCTGCAATCTACAGCCATTCTCCTGCCCTCTTCAAGGTCCAAATACCAAGCACGCTTAGCTTTGACGTCCCCCTCCACAAGACAGGGCTAGAGAAGACCCTCACCGCTTAACTTCTCAGTCATATGCTCTGCTGTACAACAGCAACAAAAATCACAGGCAAACCCACACTCTACTGTAGAACTTGAGACACGAATTAAAATGTGGAAAAGGGAGAAGTCCCACTACCCAGTAGAGCCCTACAGTGCCAAACTCCTCACAGAGCTGTGCTGAGCTGCCACAGGAGTGAGCCTGTATCTCTCCTGGGAAACCCGGAGACAAGTCACTTCAGCCCCACCCTTAAACCTAGGCGGTGCAGAAGCCACCAACAGCCATAAGCAGCACCAGCCACTCATTAGGTAAAGCACAGCTAAACTCCAAGTCAAAACAATCACGGGAAGTCTTTTGTTTAGAAGCTCGACATTCAACTTTGCTAAGAGCGCCTTTTGCTTTCAGTTCCTAGGAAAACACTTTTTAACATGAATGGTCATAAAAGCATCCAGTCTTGGCTTTAAAACCCTTAAAAGTTACTGTTTTACTAATGTAATTGCAGGCCTTTCTGAAGCACTACTTCAGTTCAGCAGCAGATCTCCTTCCAATCAACTGCCAAGCAACATTTGTAGCTTTGATACTGATCAAGTATGTGAAACTTGCTAGGGGGTTGGAACCGGAGTTTATGTCTGGGTTTTTAGTGAGTTCGAGTGTACAGTACAGAGCCAGACAGATACTGAAACACCCTAAATCAAGCAACGAAGAGATGCGTCTTCTTATGCTTGGAATTGACTGTTAGCAAGCGAGCAAAGAAACCCCAGATACTTTGACTCACGAGCCTCTGGATGGGAGAGGGTGGTAAAAAATGCAAATAAATCCTCTACAAATCCAATCCAGCCCTATGTAAATCCAATCCAATCCAATGTAAATGCAACTTTTCAGATGCTTTCAGTGAACATGCATCACTGCCAGATGGATTAACAGCAGTTTCACTCCTGATAGCCACTACATTGTGTGCGCACCAACTATGCATGACAGGGGCTACAAGCCATATTTAATTCTGCCATAAATTTACTGACACTAGCAAGGAGGCAGCAGACCTTTTAGGTCTTTATTTCCAGGGTTTAACTGCCTAGTTAGAAGGCATGGCAAGGTGAACTTATTTGGAATGAGCTTCAGGTTCCTGGCATAAGAAGCATTCAGATGGAAAAGTATCTATCACCAGATAAAAACAGTTGCCAGCCAATATGCTGACCACATGGATCATTTCTGAAAGGCTACAGCATTCCACAAGTGGATTTTTTTCCCAGCATTAAAAACAATAAATAAACCCAGACTGCCAGAAGTCTGTATGTATGTGGGTTTTGGCATTTCACCAGCAGGGTCTCAGAGCACAGGACTTCCATTATACAACTGCCCCTGATACAATCTGGCTTGGAATACTAAACTCAAGGCTGGAATTGCACTCTGAAATCCAGTCCTTAATCTGTAACAATCTCATTTAAAGATCTACTTAAAAAGACAGTATTTAATTTCCATGTGCTTTGAAAACATAATCCCACAATTTTAAAATTTAGTTACCACCACTTGATTCTTGTCTTAAATTGTACAGAGTACAATTAGAGAGTATCTTCCCTTCCTATATGCATTCCTAATTAACATAACTGTATTGCTGGACAATATAGTCCCAAACTACAAAGCCGTACCACACAGATAATGCAACGTTTTCTTCAGGCCTCAAATTCTCTTTAGACAAGAGGGGAAATAAGAGTAGTAATAGTTCTGCTTTTTAAAGGTTTTTTTGATTTGAATTCATAGGGTTTTTTTTCACAGGAGGAAGAAAGAAACATAAAAATAAAATATACTTAAGAATGACTTAACTAAAAATAGCATACATTGGAAGAAGAAAGGAAACCTTCAAAGAGAAAAATGCACTTAGGCACAGCAAGCTTGTTTCATGAGGTGGTGAAAGCATTTGCATCTTGAACCTGGAGAACCTATTCCAAGGAATCCTGCATCACATCTTTTCAGTTAATTTCACTTCACTGGAACACATGGGTTATTACTGTACCACTTTCAGTATTTCAGAAACACAGACACCAGAGAGGTATTTAAGTACACGACTCTGCTTACAGTTAGAGAGAGACATCTGTCTCACAAGTAGAGTTTACTGACATGGTTATTAGTGAAAGAGAAAACACAGGCGAAGATGTTATTTCCAACCACAATCTAAATGGACTGAAACACATTTTGCCTTCATTCCACGTATCAAGTTCACCCTGGTAACACGAGTTCTGTGCAGCTCTTGCTGCCAAGAATACACCGCTATAGGAATGACTATCTAAACACATGTTCCTAGAAACAGCAACTAACATATGTAGAAACACGTAGTATTCTGGATAGCATAGACATGTTACTCAGAAAGCATCAAATAAGTGTTTCTCAAATCTGTTGGTATAAAAAGCAACTGTGAAAGAGATGAACATTGTGATTATTATCAGATATGCACAGATCCCTCCACTTAACTCCTAGCCTGACTTCTCTCTTCAGTTTACTCCAAGAGTAACTGGTGGTTGGTTGAAGCCACAAATACACAGAACGGCCCAATGTTCTGCACCAAAAAAAAAAAAAGAAAAAAAAACATTTCCAGTTATTTTAGGCAGAAGAAAAAAAGTATCTAGGGGATGACTCTGTGCAAATCCTCCACTTCAAGGCTCCACATATTCTTATGCACGGGGTTTTCAGAAAGATCTGTCATCTTTATTGCTCGAAGAATAGGCTCAGGACTGCAGGACCGCACCACACCCATCACCATTACATACTTCCCTAAAAAAAAACAAGCAAGCATGAAATTTAATTAACCCTTGTATTGTCATTTTAATTCAGAAAGCAAAATATTTAAAACCAAGTAGTTAAACAGTTTGAATTAAAGCTGCCAATACTTGCAAGAAAATTCAAGGAACTAAGATTGCTTAGTACTAAATTTCAGAAAAAGGCTTCATCATCCGTACAACCATTATTACAGTAGATTTTACTAGATTTTCACATACAGCAAGAGTCAAAACCAGCACACAATTCCTCCTTCTGCTATGCAAGTGGAGGGAGGACAATTCAGAAGACTGAAAATTAAGCAATGTGGCTATCTTGTACCATAATTCCTGCGATGCTGCAGTCCAGCACTTCTCCAGTTGAACTAACAGTACTGGTGAAGGAAAAGAAAAAAGAAAAAAAAAAAGAAAAAACGCTATCCTTGTTCCTAGACTCACAGCTCCTCTCTGCAGCACCCCAGTTTGATCAACCATTTCCTGTCACTGCGGAGAACTGAAAACA